ACAACAGTATAATACCTTATTTTGAGTTAACATGAAAAAAACCAGTGTTCTACAACAATTCAAAGTTATCTTTAAACACTGTTAAAATTTTCCGGAGAGAAATATGTTTTATGCCCCCCCCCCTTTTCAAAACAGTAAAATTGTGATGCCTACAAAATAGGGGGGTTTAAAATTGGTTCTGGGATAATGATACAACCTTGCTTTGTCAAGCTTGTTCTTCCGTTTATCTGCCTGAAACAAACATTTTTACATGATTGGAATGACATAACCAAAAAGCTTATTGTCATAAAATTAAAAATCATTTATTATAGAGAAATTTAGATTTTATTTTTTTTTTCAGGTGACTGAGTTGAAAAATAATGACCCAATAATAACACCAAATTGAGTACTTTGATTTTAATATGTAATTTTTTTTCAAGTAACTATCTATAATTTATAACATTTTTTTAGAGTAAAAAAAGATCGATTATTAAATCATTATATCTACTGGAAAACATTAAATACTTCTCCATCCTCTCATTCTCTATCTTCTCCTTCTCTATCTTCTCCTTCTCTATCCTCTCCATCTCCATCTTCTCCATCCTCTCCTTCTCCATTGTTTCCATCTCCATAGTCTCCTTCTCCATTCTTTCCTTCTCCACATTCTCAATCTCCAAAGTCTCCATCTCCACAGTCTCCATCTCCACAGTCTCCTTCTCCACAGACTCCTTCTCCATTCTTTCCTTCTCCACATTATCCAACTCCACAGTTTTATTTTCCACCCTCTCCTTCTCCATTCTTTCCTTCTCCACATTCTCCATCTCCATAGTCTCCTTCTCCACATTCTCCATCTCCACAGTCTCCTTCTCCACAGTATCCTTCTCCATAGTCTCCTTTTCCACCCTCTCATTATCCACTTTCTCCTTTTCCATTATCTCCTTCTCCACACCCTTCTTCTGCACCCTCCTCTTCTCTACCCCTTTCTTCTGCACCCCCTCCTTCGCTACCCTCTTCTTTTCTACCCTCTTCTTCTGCACCCCCCTGTTATCCACACCTTTCTTCTCCACACCCTCATTCTCCAACCTTTCCTCCTCCACCCTCTCCTCCTCTATCTGGAACCCATTATCGTCACCATAAACCTGCAAAATTAAAAGGAATTGGTTTTAACTAATAAACCCAAATAATAACACACTGTCACTCATATTTTAATTTTCAGAAAGTGACAAAATTATGGTCTGTAATTCTAAGAAAAAGACGATTAAATAACAAAATACAATTTAAAATACACTTGCATTTATTGTCGTCTTCTCTCAACTTTTAATTAAAAAGACTATATTCTAACAATTTTCACAGCAATGGCCGCAGCGCTCGGCCTCCTAGCCTGTTCTAGCCGCAGCGCATGGCACCCTAGCCTGTCTTAGTCGCAGCGCTCGGACCCCTAGCCCATCATAGCCACAGCGCTCGGCCTCCTTCGGAGCCTGCGGCGCAACCTAACTTACCCTAAATTAATGGTAAAATAATTGTTAAAATATATATTTTTAATGAGAGAAGACGACATTAAATTTGTTTTATGAGTACGTTATTTTGAGACATTTCCGTGTTGAGGCATTTCCATGCACCAGATACAACGAAGGGAGATCCCATTTCAGAATGGTTAAGGTATGTACATGTAAATGATGACAACTTCTTAATTCCCATGTTTATTCAATTTTTACTTTGATGGCAGCGGGATGCATCAGCAAAACTTAATTTTAGTTCGCATTCCTTGAGTTAGTATTTTCAAGGAAATCTTTTATCTTACCATCTCTGGATCCGCATCCCCATCCGGATCCCCCTCCTCCCATCCTTGACAGTCTTCTGAGGTGTACCCAATCTAAATATTTATCATTGTTATTTATATTAAAGAAAAATATAATTCCCCCCTCCCTCATTAAAAGTGACATTTTTGTTATACTTACTTCTGAATCATTAATTTTGATAAAAATAATCACTTAATTGTAAAAAATAAATTGGCTTTGAGAAATTAGGTTTCACATTGTAGTAGCACGCTGATTTTACGCATGCAAACTCACTAACATGTATTGTAACTGCAAAATGCAATTTCAAACAGATCGAAGCAAATGTGCGCGCGCTTTTTGTTGAAAAATATGACTTTTTCCATGATTTCACATGCTTTAATATAAAGTAACGGTAGGCTACTAGCGCCCCGCTCAGAGTGGTCAAAAGAATTTTTAACTGGAAATCCTCGTATCAAATTACCTATAAATTGATATACAGCATGTAAAACTAGTAAGATGACCCCTAATGTGACATCTTGCTACTAGCGCAATGGTCAGAACGCTCCAAACTCAGAAATGAAGTCCTTGTCCCCATTTTCCTGTAGATTGATATATCGCATGCTGCTTTTGTTCTGAATTTGGCCCAACTTGAATTAAAATATATTTATTTTTATTATTCCTTAGTTGCGTACGTGCCCAGAACTTGAGGCTACTAGCGAGTCGATCAGAGTTTCTTAATATTAAGTTAGAGATAGCTAAATTTTATTATTCTTGGTTAACATTCAGTAAGAGTTACCTAAAATTAGTTTATTCTTAATGAATATTCATGAAGTATGGTTAGCTAAAATTAGATAATTCTTAGCTTTAATTCAGATAGGGGGTTAGTTAAAATTAGTCTATTCTTAGCTGATATTCAGACGGTATTAGCTAAAATTAGATTATTATTTGTTAACATTTAGATAGGGTTACCTAGAATTATAATATTCTTAGTTAAAGGGACTAAAGAAAATAAAAGGGGTACATGCTGAAACGTTTGAATCTTAACATACCTCTGCTGCAGTTTCTAAAACTCTTTTATACAAAGCCAACCATTCTCTCTTGTATATGTCATTATAGTCAATTACTCGGTTGTTCTTGCGAGAGTCTAAAAAGATAAGTGTGTTAACCATGAACGGAAATTGATTTTTCTTAAATTTGTAGAAATTCAAATTTAATCACTTAATACATATATACAAGGGAGGTAACTCCCGGACGCTATGAGCCTCCGCCATGCAGACACGAGCTTCCCAGGTTGCTAGGCAGACTAAACCTCTGCTTTGCAGAAATAATCATGCGGAACAAATTAAAATTTGCCTGTGTAATACAAGAGTTTTTAAAAAACTTGTGTTTTAAGATTAAATAAAAGATTTTTTGAAAGTTGTCGACATATTGGCATGAAAAGTATTTATTAATTATTATAAATAGTGCCTAATTATGACTAATAAAGTTATAACTAAAACTTTAAACAATTCTTACAGAAAAAGGAAAATATTAAGAAAAAAAAATTTGAATTGAATTTCATTTAATCTTTTATAATCTTTGATTCAAGAGATACCTTTTTTGTAGTTCAAATTGAATAAAGAATATTTGTATTAATTATTTAAATCTAAACATTTTTTAAAAAGTTATTGTTTAAATCAAAGAGTTAAAGGAAAAGCAAAGTTTACTTCAGAAATATTTTCTAAATATCTTCCTTTCTGCGTGCGAAATGTTTTTAGTTTTAATATAAATCTTTTAAACCACTTTATGAGTCCATATATGTTTCTAATCATGACAATCAATGAACAACTCTAATCTTTAGTAAAATTCTTATGTCAGCAAATATTGTTCAAATTTTCCATTAAACATATAAACCAAGATTTTAAAAACGCTGTGCTGTATGGTGGAGGATCGTTTACTGCATAGAGGAGGCACAGTGTGCATAGTCAAGGCTTTGTCTGCATAGTGGAGGCTCAGTCTGCCTAGAAAATTTGGAAGGTTCGATGTCTGCATAGCTGAGGCTCATGGCGTCCGGGGGTCCCTCCCTAATACAATACATTTAGTAAGTTGAGCTTGTGATCCTGATTTGAAACATTTTGACTTACTGGATCTGCAACAATATGCGATTCCATGAATCTGGATCTAAGTGCAAAAGTGATTGATCGTCATTTTTAGCACTGACCTGTGAATGACCCATCAAGTTTTAAATTAAATTTTCTAATATTGCAATAAAATAAAGAGAAACTAAAAAATTTATTTTATTTTTAATTCAAAATTAATTTCTAAACCTTTATAACTTTATTGGCAATGATAATTAATTAAAAACCTGAAACAAGAAATTTGTCCTAACATTGTAAATATTGATAACAGCTGGTTTTATTTTTAAATGTAGGTTTACATAATTGCCTAGCAGCAGGATATATCTTCCTAGAGACTTGGAACCTCTGAAAAGTGGCCTTCGTTGACTCATGATTTTTTTTATCTCCAGCCTTATCACACATAAATACCCCATTTTAAATATATTGTCCCATTGATCCATGAATACATTTTTATCGATTTTTTAAAACTTAAGAAATGGACAAGTTAAAATCAAAAATTTATGAGGTAAAGAAAAAAGAAATTATTTATATAATTATTTAAATTTTTTTTTAATATTCTTAAATTTTTAATATTATTAAAACGGCTACTAAAAGTGTCTTAATTTTTTTTCAGACATATGTCTGACGTGTATTAATGTCAAACGAGTTTTTGACTAAAAATTGAAATGCTCAAAAGTTTATGAAAATTTTTAAATTAAAAAATGTTATTTAACAAATAATGACATTGATAATCTATTGGCCTATAGAATTCGTGGGAATGGACTCTTGTGAAACGATATATGCTTCTTGACTTACATATGTCTTAACTTAAGAAGACAGACTGAACAAGAATCAGTTTTATATATTATGTTTTTTTTATGCACAATTCACCGTAATCATCATCAGCTCCCTTTCTTTGTGTAACTAGCTAAAAGAGGCTAAAACATCGTCTTTCAGACCTACCCCCCCCCCCCCAGCATACAAGGCATAGGTCAAGTGTAGAAGTAGCATAGATAAACTTTCCTATTGTTCACTTGCTTACGAGGCCGACCTGAGTAACTTGCAGGGTTTGCCGAGAAATTTTAAAATAAAACCAGCTGCTATCAATATTTACAGAGATATAACAAAATGTCTTACTAAGTATGATTTTTTTTATTATTTATCAAAAATTGTTCCAGTAACAATACTTGATACTTAGTAAATAAAATTAAAAAATATTAGAATAGTGTAATCAGTGCTTAGGATCCGGATCCCTGTTCATTGGATCCGCAAGATTTTGGCTGCCTGGATCTGGATCTGCAAAAATATGTAAAAACCTGCCAAAAAAATTTCCTCTCAAAATCTGAGCTATTTTAAACAGAGATTAAAAAAATTTCCTGAATTCTGAATGATTCACTTTTTAGCATTAAAATAAACCAAAAAAATTTGCAAATTTTGCTTTATTAAAAGATTTCAGTAAATCATAAAGAAATAACCTGGATCCGGATAAAGATTTGAATCCCGATCCATTTCTTGTCCAGTGCGGATCCGCATCATAATTACTTGAATCCTAAGCACTGGTGTTTATTTTAAAACTTGAAAGAACATGGCGTACTATTCAAAAGATCTTACATATTTTTAAATTACTCCAGCGCGTCAGAGGTAATTCCGTGATAACTTTCTTGAAGTGTTTGAACGGACTAGCTCCCAAGCATTCGGTTTCTACCAAACTAAAAAGTATTATATTTCCATTAGGTGAATGCCAATATCCACTTATAATTTAATTTCCGGTCTCCAGAACAAACTCTGATGAATTAAAAATGATTATATTTTAATAGTTTCACAATAAAAGAAAAGAAATGTGGTGTGCTCCAGTTTTATTTCATGCTTACCGAATACTGGGGATCGAAGTCTGAAACCTCTTTGGACCTAAATGATAAAAAAAATCAACGGGGTATAGGGTGAAACATGATCATGTTTGGAGTTAACGCAGACCTATATAGGTTCTATTTGATGTAGGTATTTCGATAAATTGCTATAAAACAATGTAAAAATTATATGAAACTTGTATATATAAGATTTGATATAAGATTCTTAAGTTTTCAAAAGATCATAATTTGCCAATACACAACCAATATGAAAACTATAATAACTCAGCGGATCTTGATTCTGAATTGCTTAAATTTCTCCTATTATTATTTTAATTTAATAATTTTTCCTAATTTTTCCTTTGTAAAAGATATTTTTGGCAATATAATTAAAAAATCAGTTTCACGTGACCAGAACTTTCACCAAAGGCAGTGCAGTATCAATGTTTTGTGATTCAGACGGAGACACATTACAGTTGTACTGCACTGACATTGTTTTAAAACTTTTAATCTTCAACCAATTCTTATATGCGTAAGTTTTGTGATAACTTTGACTTAGTTAAATATCAATTTTTAAAACTAGAAACAGCAGATATCACTCTAACATGACTGGATCAACTCCTAAAATTATCATGTTTCAGCCTAACCCCTCATTTATCCTATAAGCATGTTGCTAATATAGTTATGTGAAATTTATTTTAAATCTCATTTTCCCAGAATGGATTTTACAGATTTTAAAATAATGATAATAATAAGAAATTCCCCTACACCCTTCATCCTCTTTACCGCACAGGCAAGCAAAAATCATTTTCAAAGGTTTCTTTTAAATAACGATATATTTATCATATGAAAACTTAAATGCTATTGTACCCTTACTTTAAAATTAATCCCATAATTCATTTATTTCCAACATATATCACTAATCAGAGATATAAAATCAAAAATTTATGCTTTGGCCGAATTTAAAGAATTTCAGCGGCGGTTTATATATAAAATTGTATCAAATGTTTCAAAATCCAAGCCAGCGCTTTATTTTGGCAGAATTAAGCCACGGCTCAAATTCTTTAAATTCCATCTCAGGATGCACACTTAACATCGTATGATGCAGATTATTGATGAGCAAACATTAAGCAGTATAAAACTGAATTGATGGGAACAAAAATGTATCAAATTTAAATCTTTCATACATTTTGCAATTTTCTTGCATATTGTTAAGAAATAATTTTTTTACAATAAAAAACCAAGGTTTTATACCAGGAACATCAAGAAAATTAAAGTTTTTACAACCAAACTATATCTAGAGTTAGTTATTATAATTTGGCATTCACTTAAAATAAAAATGTCTCACCTTTGTTGATGTATCTTCTTAGCTCAATGAAATCTTCATGCGGTAGATTAGTTAACATAACTAGTAGATCCCTTATGGTTTTCTTCTTTGCTTTAATGTTCAATCTAAATGAGTGATGATGTCAATTGCTGGATTACAGCTTCATATACATTGATTAATGTGTTTCTACAATTTGTTGGTGTTGTAACTATAAATGCATTTTGTGTTATATATAAATGCAAATTTAGTTTATGCAACAAGTTGAAATTCTCTAGAAAATTTATTTAGGTAAATCTTAACTGTTTATTTAAATTTAAAATTTTGATGGTACAGGACAGTCTTTAACCTTTTTACATTTATGTTTGGATTAAATTTCATCCTGTATTGCACTTTTAGGTTATCATATTTTCCTAATTCGTAATTAAGTTATGAAGTTACGTTATATCTTTTTCACGTTCTTGGTTTTTCTCATTTCCTTATCGTCATTATGACTTACCCTTCAACCAACAGGCATTCATATCCAATGTTGTGCATCCAAACGCAGAGTTTAACATCTACATCTATCATAGCATATTTTGGTTTAAAGAAATTCTTAATTATTTCACCGAAATAGATTTAATCTAATTTTAAAATTTAAATGTATAAGGACTGACTCTCGGGAAACATTTAATTTTTCTTACTTAAAAATCAGTTTTAGGCAGATGAGGGTGTAGAGCCACCATTCAAGCTCCTAGCTTCCTGATCCAGGATGCGAAAATCTTTCAAAAAAAAATGAATCTGGATCCTAAGCAGTGGATATCAGAATGCTTGACTTGGGACTTTATTGCAGAGCCTTTGAAATGGAAAAGTACCAGTGCCGTAAACATTTTTCTTGTTACTTGTTTTGATGACTGCAGAATTATGAATCTACTGAGAACTTTTAGTTGGGCTTAGGGTGGCTCTGTGTGGAATAAAGATTATGGTAATTCAAAATTTAAGCAAATTGTGCTTTAACTATCACTTTCTTAATAAATGAGTAAATTTGATCACAAAATATACCCTTGTTTTCTTGACAATCCTCCTCCAGATCCTCAAACATTCCAAGCCTTACATCAGTCTTAATCTGGTTGACTTCTTCTTTCATTAATTTATAGAAATACCTAAATATCAATGGTTTCAAAACAATTATAAAATAATTTCAATAAGGAAGTTATGACATGTATCGAATTGTGATAATCATTAGCCCAGGTACCAGAAAGGTTTACAAACCATTAATTTTTGAGATCTTTCTAATGACTAAAGTAATTAACTTTTTTACATTTGTTCACTAGATTAACTCAAATACTTAATAAACATTTTGGTTCTTCCATATTTTTATTATCATATACTCACATGAAACGGCAGATCCATTTGGAGAGACGATTGTTTGAGGATAATCTTTCGTCGTCAACCCCTGACCTAATTATTCATATTCTTATTCAATGTTTAATAATAAGACTGGAACAAACTATTTTAACAGTTAAATATGCTCTCAAATATTTATTTCTTATCAAAATGTTTAAAATTTGTGAACTACATATATGTTAACGGGAAATTTCCTGTTTCTTCTCGGTAAACTGGGAATATGTACAGGTTACGTAACGTGAACAGGGAAAAATACATTTTCCTTTCATTAGAAATTTTGCAGAAATTTCATTTCACCAAAGAAATTCCCAGATCATTCCATTTTCAACTATTAAACTTTCTTCTTACATCATTAAAATAAACATATTTATAAATTTCAAAATTATGTATTATTTGGTTCCTGATGTCTTCTCTCGCTTTCAAAGCAAACATGCTCAAAACTGGTTTGAACTGAAATATTTAAAATTACACATTAACAAACAAATTTTCTGTATGGACAGCTAATCATTTCTTAAATTATAATGATGATCATTGATCATATAATATTCATTGTATTTGATTAATTTAAGTCAACTTTTGCAAGAAAAAAAAAAGGACATTATACCATGGGTGGGTATTCTCCTGCAGGTTCTGTTATTAAAAAACCAGCATTGGAGAAAGATCATGGTTATATAATAAGCATAGATCTTAAGCCAGTCCTAACCAGTCAACCACCAGCTAAAAAGGCCAACTCAGTGCTTGAAAGGAAATCTTTACAAAGTCTATTTTAAAACTATTTTAGAAAACTGTGTGCAAGCCTGGAAACCATTGAATATTGATGGCAAAAGATATAAAAGTGTTGGAGGCAGTGCTTAGGATCCGGATCCGTTGGATCCGCATGATTTTGGCTTCCTAGATCATAATCTGGATCCACAAAAATATGCGGATCCACGGATCCGGATTCAAGGGGTAAAATATCAACCAAAAACTGAAAAAAAACTTTTTTAATCCTAAACACCAATTCTGAACTTTTGGAAAAACAGATTATAAAATTTTTCTCATTTCTGCATGGTTCATCAAATTTTAGGATAAAAACAATGGAAAAAAAATAAAACCAATTATATAAAAAATCAGTAAATCTTAAAAAATGACCTGGATTCGGATCAGGATCCATTTTTTTACAGTGCGGATCCAGGATCAGGATCCGCGTCAAAATTAAATGGATCCTAAGCACTGGTTGGAGGATGTCCAGAAAAGAGCAATTAGAATGATATCTGGTCTAAAAGGGGATTCATATGAAGAGAAATTAAATTAGGTCAAGATGACCAGCCTGGAGGAACGCAGGCAAAGAGGAGATATAATCCAAACATTAAAACTTCTGAATGGTAAAGACTAGGTTCAAAAAAACCATTGGTTTCAGAGATATACTGAAAATCAAGGACTTGAAACAAGGCTGTCCTCCAACTCAGTGAACCTCAGACACTATCACTTTAGAACTGATGTACTCAGACATTCCTTTGTGACCGTAACAAAAATATGGAAAGACAATCTATAGAAGTAAGATCTGTAGTGAAAATTAATCAACTTTAAAACAAATAGGATGAATTTATTAGGGCTTAATCTCAGTATGATAACAAGTAATAGGAGTATGGAGACCATTAAGGAGATTTAAGTACCTCTGAAGTCAATGATCCGCATAACATGGCCACGAACGTGGTTCTTTTGCATGACTGCTTCAAGTAATCAACTAAAACTTCAAAAATAATGGACCTAATTACAAAGTATTGAATGAATTCAAAAGGTCGCTGAGCTACCTACCGGTTTCAGCCAGTAAAAATCGTCACAACTCTTTACCTTTGAATCTTTGATTCAAGATTTTAACTAGCAGTAGATAGTTATCCGACCTAACTCAAATTTATTAAACTTGTCGCAAGTTTGAACAGGGATTGATTATTTATAGATTTAGCTTTTCAGTGTTACAGCTTCAAAGGTCACTAACCTTTCTCAACTCTAAGATCAGGTTCTGGAGTTTGGACAGCTTATTCTCTTCCTCCAAGGGTTGTTCTCCCACATGTAAGAACAAGATCTACACAGAAATAAAGGGGTTTAAATTAATAAAAGTCAATAAAACAACAACAACAACACATCTTGTCATTTATCCATTTAGAATTTAGTTTTGTTTTTATGTGTATCTCGTTCTAACTTGTACATCATTGATAGTTTTTAGTCATTGCTCATTGGGTTTCAAAAAAAAAATATAATAAACTACATATAAAATTTTTGAAAATGAACTATATATCTTTATTAAAGTAGCCAAATTCACCAGACAGAAATATTCCATTTGCCTGTGAGGTTAATATACTATTTCTAAGATGAGAACTTTTTGCGCTTAAATGATTTATTTCAGTTATCCCTTAAGTCCTTTGGGTTACAGTTACAGGGTGGGTAAAAAAAATTTGAAATAAATACGTACACACAAATCCGAACAATCTGTAATTAAGATTATAATAAGAGGAGATAAATACATAATAACATTATAAAATCTCTAATTATGGCATTTTGTCTTCTCTTCATTGGAACGGCTTTCTTGTTTGTTTAAGCTTTTTAAAAAACACATTTAGCAAAAATCAATATTCTCTAAACTTATGAATGAATTTATATTGTCAAGAGAAACAACAAGTAACAATCAACCTAATATTATTTAGAATGCAGAAAATAAGTTAAAATAACTTCTTTTTTACAAGATTTTTTTTGAAAATTTTCATGCAAAATTTGCTGAAATGAGTCAAAAAGAAAAAGGTGTATTTCCCGGATAAAATCGCTACAATTTGAAGAAAAAAATCCGTACAATTTCACTGCTAAAAAAAAACTTGCAATCTGTACATTTTGGCCACCCTGCAGTTTTTCTGCAGTATATCAAATAAAGATTAAAATTATCTGCAGATGAAGAAAAGGTCAATATCAGGAATGTATCTCTATATCAACTATAAAAGAGCTACCACCTATTACGGATCAACCAAAAAAAAATTGATACCTTGTCCATAAGGGAAGGACCTGCTTTAAGCTGTCTGGACAATTCTTCGTAGTCCTGAAAGTTTGATCTTTTAACATAACTAATTTCTTATTGAGTGTTTATACAGG